AAAAAAAAAAAAAAAAAAAAAAAAAAAGAAAAGAAAAGAAAAGATATGTCTCCTGTACAGGTGCTTACAAGGAATATACCAATTCTTCTTCTTTTTTTTTTTAAATGTATTTGTACAGGGTCTCACTATACACATCGAACTTGTAGTGATCCTTTCTGTTCTTCAGCCTCCCAAGTGCTGGGATTACAGGCATGCACCACCACACCTGGTCTTAATCGCTGTCTCACCACACCCCAGGGATTGAACCTTGGCCCCTGCATCTGCCTAACCAGGCGCTTTAATCCACTGAGCTATCTGGCCAGCCAACACAAGGAATGCAAATATGATGTACACAAACATGTACTAAAAGTTTTTTGTTTCAGCAGGCACTTAAACACCTGAGCTAATGGGCAGGCCCCCAAAATGTTGTTTTTTTTTTTTTTTTGGTAGTACCAAGGATTGAACTCAGGACCTTGCATTTGCCAGGCAGGCACTTAAGCCACTGACCTATATCCCGGGATAAAAGTTTTTTTAAAAAATAAAATGTATTCCTTGGAGGAAAAAAAGAAGAATGCTAGTGGAAGAACTGGAGAAATCTCAACAGAGCCTAGAGTTCAGATATAGTCATGCACTAGTGGTAATCTCTGAGTTTTAACAAAGGAACCACTGTTGTGTAAGATTTAATGCTAGGAGTAGCTAGGTATGGGGTATCATAGGAACTCAGAGTTCTACCTTTGCAACTGTTATGTAAAATCCAAAACTCTTCCAAAATAAAACTGTTTATTTAAAAACTCTGTTCTAGGGCCAGCCAAATAGCTCAGCAGATTAAAACGCCTGCAAGTAGGCCAGGGGCCAGGGGTTCGATCCCCAGGCCTGCCGTGCTGGCCCTGCCCCTGGGGCGTGCTGAGATGGCAGTTGAGACTAGGCATGGTGGTACATGCCTGTAATCCCAGCTCTTGGGAGGCTGTAAACAGGCGGATCACTACAAGTCCGATCTAGTAGTGAGACCCTGAACACCCTGTAGACTCTTCCCTAAAATACAGGGAAAAAAAAAAAAAATAAAGTTAAAAATTCTGTTCTAAACTTTGGTGTTTTTTTTTTTCTTGTAGCAGGACTTGAACTCAGGATCTTGCACTTACCAGGTAGGTGCTGTGCCATTGAGCTATATCGACAGCCGTTCTGGAGTTTTAAAACCCAAGACATTCAATTACTATCAAAATTAAAATAGCAAATCCATGATCTAGTTCCACTTTTGTTTTTTATTAAGGTGTAACACACATATAGTACACAGCTATGCACAAATGTTGTGTGTGCAGCTTGTGTAATTTTGCACATGGAATCGGCCACACAACCAACCAGATCACACTGTAGAACACTGGAGAACCCCACAGCAGCTCTCCTTGCCGACAGCCCCACACCGGTTGGAGCCGTCTCCTGATGTAGCTACCACACATTCATTTTTCTGTCCTTGAACTTCATTTAAATGCAACACGAGGTGCATTCTCATTTGTCGGGTACGTACCACGTCGGGCTCTTTCACTCAGCGTAATGGCTGAGACCAGCTGAGCTATTGTAGGTCAGTCATTCATCCTTGTGATGTGTAATATTCTGGCTGACAGTGTCTCCAATTGAGGGTTTTTTTTTTGTTTTTGTTTTTGTTTTTTTTTTGGCAGAACCAGGAATTGAACTCAGGCCCTTGTGCTTGCCAGGAATCCAACTGAGTTTTGAGGTTAAACAGTGTCTTATGAATGAAGCTGCTACAGACAGGTGTATCTATACACGGTGGGCCTCTCCCAAATCCATGCTTGAGTGGATTTGCTGTATCTTAGGGGATTTGCAGGTTTAGTTTAGGGACTCCTAATCAGTAGCTTTCCCTTGTGGTCATATCAGTAATACCTACACTTCCTCTACAAAAGTGGTAGTTCCAGGGCCACCTCCTCCTTGCTGTATTTGCTATTGTTAATCTTTTTAATTTTAGTCACTACAGTGGCTATAATACCTCTGACTTTGATCTTTTCCCTCTTGTGAATGCCTGGTCCAGTTTTTCACCTAGTTTTATCATACTGGTTCTTTTTCCTCATTGATTGGTGGCATATTCAGGATACAAGTCTGCTGTTAGCCACGTGTGTCACAGATACCCTCTCCCCATCTTCAGCTTCTTCACTTCATGGTAACTTGATGAGTAGTCCCACTCCGCTTTAATCAAACCAGTCACTGCATCTGTAAAAATTCAGGTCAGAAGACTCTGGCCTTGGAACTCCCTGAGGAGCGGGACGAACTCGAGATCCTCGGGGCCGGGGTGGTGGGGTCTTTCACTGGCAAGGACCCCTCATGAGCAGTCTGCAGACCTGGCCCTAGCAGGCCCCCACACCCACGGGGGACCCAGCTAGGGTGAGGGTGCTCCATCAGCGGTGCTGCACACTCTCCAGGGGACTCCAGCCAGCAAGGCCAACAGTCCAGGAGAGGGACATTCGGCTTACAGGGGACATTTGGCCCCTTGTCCTGTTCTTGCCCCATGGCCATTGTGCCTGCATGAGGATGGCCTGCCTCGGAACCAAACCACACAGCCCCTGGCATGGTCTTCAGTGGGCTTTTCTCTTACCTCCCTTCCTGGGACAGTCCTGGCTCCTGCTTATGTCCTAGTGTCATTATAATAGCACTCCCTGCAGGCTCATAAGTGTCCCAGTTAGAATCACCCACCTGCCGGGGAGCTAGCTCAGTAGAATAAGTGCTTGTCTGGCAAGCGCAGGGTCCCGAGTTCAAACCCCGGTCCCGCAAAAAGAAAAAAAAAAAAAAAAATAGAATCACCCACCTTCTTGAGGGTCTGTTGGTCTAGCTGTTGTGAGAAATCTCACCCCTCTGGTCTTGGCCTCGGCCTGCACCATCCACTTTCTTTTCACAGCTTATTGTTTCTTGGTTTGTTTTCTGAAGCAGGACCTTGCTATATCATCCAGGCTGGCTTTAAACTCACTATAACTCAGGCCATGGGTGGTTTGGAGGACTGGTAGGCAGAACACACACACACACACACACACACACACACACACACACACACACACACTTTCTCTGCTAATTCACATCTCTGGCTCAGTTTCCCCCAGGAATAGGCCAAGCAAGAAGCAGAAAGAAATGGGCTGGACTCATGGCTTTATCAGGACCTACACAAAAGCTGGGGGTGGGAGATCAGGTGAGTGGAGCCCTGCAGCCTGACAGCCGCTGGGCAGTGACAGCTCAGCCTGTCCCTGCCCTCCCTGTCAAAGGGCCCAGGAAGGCCAGCCTCCTTTGATCTGGGCTAAAAATAGAATCTTCTGGAAAGACTGAAACAGCACAGAGCTAAGAGGTCACCCTTGGAGAGGTCCAGGACAGGAAAGTAGGTGAATGTGTCTCCTCTGTCAGTGTCCCAAAGCAGAAAGGGAAGTCCCTGGCCAGCCCCTGGCCATCACGGGGCCCAGACTATGGCGGGGAAAGCTTGCTTCAGGGTGAACATGATGAAGACCACCTCCTGGTAGTTGTCCGCCTCATACAGACAGCCAAACTGGGGGGAGCCATCAGGGCCAGACCCCATGCTCTGCAGGTCTGAGTAGGCACAGCTGCCCAAGGCCAGCAGGGCCGGCTCAGTCCAGCCCTCGGGGTCCAGGGGCCGCTGGTTGAGGTAGACCCCCAGGTTAGACCTGTGGCCTGGATCTGTGGGGTGAGTATATACCAGCCACTGGCTTGCGGTGCCTGGGCCCTGCCTGGAGCCCAGGAAGCTGACCACGCTCCCATGGCAGCCGTGGGGAGGCTCCACCAGCTTCTTCACTGTCAGGCTCACCGTGAAATCCAGCCCATCGTTGGCACTCTGGGCCTGGACCCTGGCCTTGTGTGGGCTCCTGGCATTGAGGTATAGCACCTGATGCCCCATGGCTCCAACCTCGGCCACCTGGCACTCCAGGGTGTCATCGTCTACAAAGTTGCCCCGTGCCCACGTGCGTCCATGATCGTGGCTAAGGAAGCAGAAAGCAGAAGGCGAGGGTGCCAGGGGCGTGGGCCGGTTGCGGTAGGCATAGGCAGGCACCACCAGGCTCTGGGTCCTGTTGTGCAGCTGCAAGCAGTGCCCTGGGCCCACAGCGAATGTGGCCCATTCCTTGTGGGTCTGGCCAATGGCTGCATCTGTGATGTCCCTGGCAGGGCTCCAGGTCCTGCCATGGTCCATGCTGGTGACCTGGCACAGCCGTGTCATGTTGACCCCAGTCTGGAGCTGGTGGTGCTCAGAGACCTGCCCCGGGATGGCAATGAAGAAGAGGAAGAGAGTCCCCGTCTGTTTGTCATACAGGGGACACGGGTTCATGGAGCGGTGGCCCTGCAGCTGGGCTCCGGCCAGCACCTCCTGAGCTTGCCACTGAGTGGGTGGAGAGATAGGAGGAAGAGTCTTAGAAGAGCTGGAGATGGTGACCAGGGCTAACTGCAGTGACAGCCTGCGGTGTCTAGGGGTAGGTAAAGGCTAGGAGGAGTACTCCGACCCTCACTTGCACTGTGCCCTCAGACAGGGCCCAGGACTCCCTTCATTCCCTGGCCAGTGCAGCATGGACTGCATGGTCACCTCCCATCTTGCACACACAAGCCTCTATTAATGCATCCACCCTAGGTGGGGACAGTCCTCACACGGAGCTTCTCTGAGGCCAGGTCTGTGGCATGAGCATCGAGTCCCGCCCTCCCTAGGAGATACAGTCTCAGCCCAAAACCCAACACCACCTTCTATGCCTATGGGCGCCCACCCCAGGGCACCACTGTTACTTCCCCTGCCTCCCATCTGGAGAGCAAGAGGCTGCGAGCCTGGGTGAGTCACCTAAGACCACCCTTCTGATAAGGGACAGAACCAGGACTTTAACCCAGGGCCATGTGTTTCACATCCCTTGAGTACAGACACCTGTTATGCTAGAGCCAAAGAAATGGTCTAACCTCATGTGTTGAGTGGTGGCCATGTGTAGTTTTCATGACTACTAAGTCATGATGACATTAGTGTGGGACAGCTGGCCTTAATGTCTTCACCACAGCCAGTTCCTTCATTTCCAAGTGGGGATGTCACCAACACCAACCCTGTCTCCCAGGCTAACTTCTCACCTATGCTGTGGCCCCCAGTGACAGGATCACACTCTGTTCCCTATTCTGTGCTTCAGGGTATCTTTTCTCTCTGTCCCCAGACTGCAGGCCCTGAGGGATGGGACCGTGCACACACCAGCCGGCAGGGCTGAGGGGAGTGCCCTGGGTGGAGGTCCGCGCCCTGAGCTCACCTCAACCCTGCGGGCGGCTGCGTCGTAGGCTCCCCTGCGCAGGACTATCTGCTCCGCGTGCTCATCCTTCTTGCTTCTCCGTTTTTCCACGAAGGCCAGCAGGGTGCTTTGCCCTGGCAGGTAGAGCAGTGCAGGGATCCTGTAGGCGTTGGCTCCTGCCTGGAACAGCCTCTTCCGCTGCAGGACCTGGGTGGCCTCCATGGGACTGGGAGACAGGAAGGAAAGATGTGTCACCTGTCACCTGAAGTCACATCTGTGTAAGGAGGTAGAGTCATCAATCCAAACAGGTACATGCACCCATGCGAGAGCCAGTCCTTCTCTGGGTGGTCTCCCCCTCTTTTCTCTTTCTTTCTCTCTCTCTCTCTCTCTCTCTCTCTCTCTCTCTCTCTCTGTCTGAGATCTCTCTCTGTCTGAGACAGGGTCTTGCTATGCAGTTCAGGCTGGCCTTGAACTGCCTCTGTGGCCTCAAATAAACATCCTCCTGCCTCAGCCCAGAGTGCTGGGCTTGCAGGTGTGCACCAGCACACCCGGCTCCTCCTTCACACCCAAGACCCTGCTTATCAGTTCTGCGTGGGCCTCCAAGGTATTGGCAGCACCCCCCGGAAGAAGTCCCTGGTGGTGCGGAGATGCTGGAGAAGCCTGTCTTGTGTTCAGTTTGCTCTAAGTTAACCACAATCCTCCCTGAAGATGGTAACCTTCCTCTGCTTTCTCCCAACAGCTCATCAATCAGGTGACCAAGCTCGGGTAGGAGAGGCACGCTCTCGGCTCACAGAGTGGCATGCTGCAGCTAGCCCACTGCCAGGAAATGACACACGGCAGCTTTTTATAGCTCCAGAGCCCTAGAAAGTTGTTGTTGGGGGAGGGGCCCTGGATTCTGAAGGTTGTGCTTTCCCGGCTGCCTGGGCTGAGCTCCCAACCCCATCAGGGGCCCCGGGGTTCACCCTGAGGCAGGCAGGGGCATTCTCAGCAGAGGGAGAGATGGGAGGGCTCCTGGCTGCTAATTGAGGTAGGGGAGCCCCACTGGAGGAGCGAATAATCAATAATAAGCATTCAGCTAAAAAGCCCAGGTGTGGTGGCAGCACACACCTGTAACCCCCAACATGCAGGAAGCTGAGGCAGGAGGATCGCCATGAATTCAAGGGCAGCCTGGGCTACCTACTGAGACCTTGTCTTGAAAAGGAGGGAGCAACAGAGAGCAGCGGAGACAATGTGGTGACGGAATGACAGCAGTTTCCCTCCGAGAGACCAACCTCCAGCTGAGCTGACCATCCTCTGCTCCCGAGGCCGGACCCGGGAAGGCTACCTGTAATGACCATCCCCCAGAGCATAAGGGCCAGCCGGGGACAGCGTGACTCCAAAGTGTCTGGCTGCCACCTGCGCCTTCCCAAGCCTGCTTTTCCACCTGCCTTCCCCCTCCGTGCTCCCTTCCACGGCGGGGAGGAGGAGCCCATCCTGGAGACCCCTCCCTGGGGGCCCCTTGAAACGTGGCCTTTGGGGACAGGAAGCAGCCGCGGGTCAACAGGAAGGGGACACAGCCTTTGCTCTTCATACTATTTCGCAATTTTCTACTACGCATGCGCATTATCTGCTTACAATTTAACGCTTTTTGATAAGTTTCTTCTAATCTACTCTTCATCTCACGGTGAACATTATTATTAGGACCAGGGGACAAAATGAAAATTCAAAGGGCAAGTGCTGCACTAGGGAATTTAAAGAAAAGGTGTTATTACCTAAACGCAGGTGGAAGTGAGAGGCCTTCTTGGCTGCAGTCCAAGAAAGCAGACGCAGACACGGGTACGACTGCCGTGAAACGCAGACCGGGGGAAAACCAAATCTGAGCAAAGTCTGAGAAGCCGAGGTGGAGGTGGAAGGTGTGGTTGGAGCGTTCTTGCAGCAGGCTGGTGGACGGTTCTTGCTGCTCGGTGGAGTTGGCTGCGAACGCGTATCCTTGAGGATAATTTGATGCTGTGCGTAGAGTCAGCTTAAAATGTCAATGTGCAAAGCGCCCAAGATCTTTGTACGCCTGGCACAATGAGCTGGCTTCTTGGTCACAGGTTACAGGAGGACATCGGCGGAGAAGTCCTGAGGACTCGGAGGGCAGCGTGAGCAGGACCCTTAGGTAAGAAGAGGTTAATGCGGGCAAACGTGGGGTCTACACCAAAACCTAGGAAAGGCACCAGGAGTTGGGCTGGCTGGGATGGGCTGGGCTGGGCTGGGAAGATGGGGTGGAGGCCAGAGAGAGCTTTCAACAGGGTCCCTGGTGGGTTCACCCACAGAAGTAGGCCACTCTCAGTTTCCTAAATTAACATATAACTCCACATAGCACACTATTCAGCTTCTATTTAACTTAATTTTTCTTTTTCTTTTTTTTGAGACAGGGTCTCACTCTAGTCCAGGCTGGCCTTGGACACAAAGTGATCTTCCTGACTCAGCCTCCAAAGTGCCAGGCTTCCAGGCCTGCACCACCACATCCAGCTTAGACTCCAGCCTTCTTCTTTTTTTTTTTTTGTTTTGCTCCGAATGCCCTCAGGGCAGGTTTGGCTGGCTTGAGTTGTGGGGACTGAACCACAGCAACCTGAGCCTGACTGCTTTGTTGAAGCAGCTGCTTAAAGAACTGAGCTAAGGGGCAGGCCCCCCGACTCCAGCCTTCTTGAGGGTGGCAACAAATCCACCCATGAAGCAAGTATTAATTATACTCCCATAGGTGCCCAGTGTCTCTCTAGGAACTTGGTACACACCCTGAGTAAAACAGACCACAAACCTTATTGAGTCAGCCTTCCCATGGCTGGGACACAGCACCTGACAGCCACTGTTTATTGATTGATTGATTGATTGATTGATTGATTGATTGATTGATTTAGTGGTACTGGGGATCAAAGTCAGGATCTTGTGCTTGCCAGGCTGGCACTTATGCCACTGAGCTATATTCCTGACAGCCACAATTTAAAGAAGGACTTTTTTTTTTTGGTACTGGGAATTGAACTCAGAGCCTGTGCTTGCCAGGCAGGTGCTGTACCGCTGAGCCACCTCCCCAGCAGGAGGGGAGGTGTAATGCAGCTCTCAGTTTCAGGACTCAGTCCGCAGTCAGCTGGCTCCAAGGCAGGAGCACTGTGGCAGAGGGCCATGTGGAATAGGGCTACCCATTCCGTGGCAGGCAGGAAGTGCCCCGGGGGAAAGGTTAAGGGTCCAGATAGGGAGGCCAAGGTCATGCCTGCACTACCCACACTGACACACCCAATGCCGTGTCCTACCAGTTGCCTGGGTGAGTTCTAGGCCAGTCAGCCTAACATAATCAAGGTTTACACAATCAAGGTTTACTGCTTTTGTGGGGTCTGTGTCCTATGGGGATGCAAGAGCTACTGATGTTGCCAAAGCCCTAGACAGCACTAGCTGGGGCCAGCCCTGCTCAGCTCTCTCCAGGGATTGTGGCATTTGACCCACCACACCCTATCCTCTGCAAAGCCTAGGGGCTCGTGGGCATGCCCCTTGTAAAGCGTGGAGGTAGGAGGGCTCTGGACACCTGCTGATCCAAGCTGCTATGCAGGCTGCCAATCTTTCTAAGCATTTGTCTTATGTGTATTTGAGACAAAGCTGGACCCAGGAGACAGGATCAGGGGGATTCCCAGTCAACGTGAGGGGTCTCCTGTACTCTTTAGTCACTGCACACTTCCCAAACACATACCCCCAAGCAGTACGCATCCCTCTATAGCAATGCAAATACTTGGACAGCCCTTGTAAAGTTCTGGACACTTTTTTTTTTTGGCAGAACCGGGGATTGAACTCAGGCCCTTGTGCTTGCCAGGCAAGAGCTTATTCCACTGAGCCATCTTCCCGGCCCCTGGACACACTTTAAGACTGCATCAACATTTTCTAAAAATTGCTTGCAAACCGAATTTGCAAACTTTCCAGCTTACAATGTGATCTTAAACATTTATTCACTTGATCCTCATAATAGCTACGAGGCAGACACCAAGACCATCCCATCGTACAAATGAGAAAGCCAAGCCTGCTCAAGCCTCATGTGGCCTTGCTGAGAACCTGGGACAGGTACATGGAGCCTGGGACATAGCTGTGTGGGACATAGAAAGAAAGAGTATGTCACCAGGGGCTAACATGGTCCCTGCCCTGAGGGTGAGCTTGGATGGGGTGAGGGGTGGCCAGAATCACACACCAGGTGATGGGGAAGGTGCCCCTGTATCTCGAGCTCTTAGAAGCTGCTATTTAATATGACAAGAGTGGGCCCCTGGTGGCAATTTCCTGTGGGTCTGAGGAAGGCTACTGAAGACTGTTGCTTCGCGTGTCCTGCCAGTGCCAGTCCCAGCCCTGAGTGACTCACCCAGCCCAGAAGGCAGATGGGAATCAGCCGTCTGGTCACAGAAGTGAAGAAACAAAGGAGGGAGCTGGCTGGGGAGCCTGGAGAAGCATTCTGCAGGAGCTCATTGCTTAGTGGGACAGAGCCAAGGGATCTGAGCCTGGATCTTCCAGATTCTGGAACTGGATCTTCCTGCTCTGGCCCTGCAGCCTGCAGCCAGGGCTTCCTCCAAAGACTTAGGTAGACTGTCCCTGCCTCCCGCTCACTCTGTGCTGCCTGACGGGGGCATGATGGGCGCATTGTGGGGCTGAGGCCTCCCGGCCAGCCAGCACAGCACGCTACAGCTCATGCATCTGTATGGAGCACCTCTTGGGCGCTGGGATCAGAGGACTGGCCAAGCCACAGCCCTGCCCTTAAAAGCCTGTAGTTACAGGGAAGAAGGAAGAGTTACGCTTTGAAGCTTTTTCAGGGGTAAAAGCCCTTGCCCATGAGTCGCTTTTGGCTGGGATGTCACCTCTTTCCCCAAGAAAAACCCATTTCCCAATGGGCTCAACAGCTCGACGTAGCCCCAGGGCTTGCTGGGCCCATGACCTAAAGCAAAGGGAGCTTTCAACCCTCACATTGACACTGGCTGACCTTCCTTTTGGAATGGAAGCAAGCCCTTGAAGAAGCTGCTGATTTGCTGATCCCAGCCCTCCTCCTCCTTCCCTTTCTCCCCAGGTCCTCTGGGCAGGCCAGAACCCAGTGGGGGGCTCAAGCAGCCCTGTAGGCTCACAGTTGCCATCTTCGTAGGATTTCCCGAATGCCACCCATCCCTCCGTAATTACCTGGAAGCCAGAACCTTGTCTATGTCAACAAAAGAGTGTGTGGGTTGATTTAGAGACAAGCCATACCTCTGTACCTCCCCGAGGATATTCTAGGAGCACTGGGCCCCCGCCTGAGGTCAAGGTGCGTGAGCACAGCCAGTGGGAGCCTGACTTCTGGGAGTGCTGCGTAGTGGATGTGGGCCCGGACCTCGCCTCCATCCCAGGCGCCTCTTTGCCCAGGCCTATATACACCCTGGGGAGCCCCACGCCAGCCTCCCACGCATCTCACTGAGCTCGCGCCAGGGATGAGGTCTGCGTCCCGGCCCGGCCTTGGCCCAATTAGGATGCTGCCTACACAGTCAGGCCTGAATCAGAGGGTGAGCCTCAAAGCTGCCTGAGTCAGTGCCGCCTCATAAGAAGAGAGGCGTTGGGTAACTGGTGGGAACAGACTCCCCAGGGCCCAGGAAAGGTAGGCAGGGACGAGCTGGTGGGAGCCACACCAGACCCATCTGTCCTTCTGGCAGGGCCACAGCCTTGTCAGTGGCTTCTCAGGACCTCAAGGTCCTCCTCAGAAAAATGAGAGGAAAATCTCACAACAGGCCCTGAGCCATGTGTAAGTGTTGTTGCAACCAAAGCGAAGAGTGACAAAAGTCCTCACCAAGCTGAGAGGGGACTGCATGCAGGTGTCTGATAGGAAGGACTGTCACCAGAGTCTTTGATGACACACAGCCGCAGCCTCGCACAAACCAGCCCAAGTGCACATGGAAATAATTCCACAAGGACATTTGCCCAGTAACTTTCTGCCCAACGTTATGCCGACACCAATGCTGGTTATTATGTCAAAACAATTTACCTAATTCTTCATGCCTTACATAAGCTATTTTGCCTTTTAAACGTTCCCTCTGCCCCTTTCGACTGTGAATAAGCCCACACACGTTCCTCTTTCAGTGGTGACGCCCAACACATCTCATCATTTTTCAGCCTGTGTGTTATTCAAAGTTTGACAGCTACAGGGAGCAGAAACCACAGTTACCTTCCTGCCCCTGCAACCAGTACCTGGGACAATTTCTAATACATCAATTTGTGCCTGATAAATAGCCATCAGTGAGTGGAAGAAGATTACCTTACCAGGCGGGAGGACATGCAGGTCCTTAGAGATCAACCATCCGCATCTGTAACCCCATGTCTGGCATGGGGAGGGCTCTTCTGTGACCACCATAACTGTGTCCGTGGCTCCACAGGCCAGTCCCAGGGGGACGAGTCACTTGCTTGCCAGCAGGATATCATAAACCATCTCTCCCCAGTCCCCTACTTGGAAACGGGAATGAACAAGACTGCGAAGCTGGGAAAATCCGAGGCCACCACGTGCATTCAGTGTGTACTTCCAGGCCAGGGAGATAGCTCAGCAGTTTAAGGACCTGCCTGGCAAGTGCAAGGTCCCAAGTTCGATCCCCAGTACCACAATAAATAAGTAAATAAATAAAATAACATCACTTCAAAGTGTACTTCCTGCTTCATCATTTTTTTTTTTTTTTTTTTAACCCGGGATTGAACTCAGACCCTTGTGCTTGCCAGGGAAGCACTTATTCCACTGAGCCATCTCCCCAGCCCCATCTTCCTTCGTCTTGAACCAGAAGGTGTGGGAGGACTCCTTCAGGCCCCCTTCCCTCTGCTGGAAGAAGACCTTTCACAGTGTCTTCAGGTGGCTACTCAGCTCCAGCTGTGCCCTGGGGCAGAGCCAAGTGCGCTCCTGGTCCCCTGATTGCTCCCCGGGGCACAGTGGCCCCTGGATGGCCTGCTTGGAGTTCCCCTTGTGCCTGCACTGGTTCGCACTCTCATCAGTTCTCAGGGAGATGGCAGAGTGAACCTGACCTCGGAATTTATCTCTGGAAACCTCACCCAAAAGCCAGCCCGAGAAGCCACGCATGTCAGACCCACACCCACGGGAGGCCCGAGCACGCCATTAGAATTGGTACTTTTATGTCCTCATTTTTCCCTTCACTAATTGATGCCGCCATGGAAGAGTTCTTTTTACCAGGGATTGAACGGCCCTTACGCTTGCCTGGGAAGTGCTTGTTCCACTGAGCCATCTCCCTGGCCCGGAAGAGTTCTTTTAAAGTGATCTAAGTGTTGAGGACTGAAACAATTGTGATATATCAACCAGCCAATTAATTAAAATCCCACCTTATTTATTTTTAAAAATTTTAGCTTTTTTTTTTTTTTTAGCTATTTGTTACAGGGTTTCAATACACAGCTTGGACTCATAGTGATCCTCCTGTCTCAGCCTCCCTAGCTCTGACATTACAGGTGTGTGCCACCTCACCCAGTTTCAGGCTGGCACGGTAAGCTTGGGGCCCCAGGACTGGCATGGTGTTTGGTACTGGGGATTGAACCTGGGTCCTTATACTTGCCAGGCAGGCACTTGTGTTACTGAGCTACATCCCCAGCCCCAAACATCTATATTAAAAATAAACAAAGCACAAAATATGTGTTGCTACATCCCTAAAATTTAGCACTGTGGTACCAATAAAACAGCTTGCTTGCTTTCTTGCTTTTTGGCAGAACCGAAGATTGAACTCAGGCCCTTGTGCTTGTCAGGCAAGCGCTTATTCTACTGAGCTATCTCTCTGGCCTTGTTAAAACAGCATTTTTAAATATAGAATGCATAAGTACTATCAGTAATTTAACCAGTGGATGACAAATGGTGTTGATTTTCTCCTACATTCTCTATGCACAAACTTTGTTATTCTTTTAAAAAGTATTACTTTTAGAAGAATGGCAAGTAATACAATGTAAGGTTTTGAAAAGTGGCTGGGCCGGGGAGATAGCTCAGTAGAATAAGCGCTTGCCTGGCAGGTGCAAGGGCCTGAGTTCAATCCTTGGTTAAAAAAAAAAAAAAAAAAAAAAAAAAACACCAAAAAACCCCCAAACAAACAAAAACAACAACCACAACAAAACACAAACCACCAAACCAAACCAAACCAACCAACCAAACAAAAAAACCGTCACACTAGAAAAGTGGCTAATGGTGGCCTGCTTACTCTCCTGCTCATATCCCTGAGTGGGAAGATGAGGCTTCAAACAGAACAACAAGCTTGGACAAACGGGCTTGATTCCATGTGCAAATTCAATTGATCCCAAAGGATCAATTGAATAAGTGTTCAAAAACATGTATTGAACATGTCCCGTGTAGCCAACACCATGCCAACCAGGGAAACAGTTTGGGACAAAGCCCCAGCACTCCCGTGCTGCTGGGGGACACATCAGACCCTCAGGAGCAGAGGTCAGTGGAGGCAGAGGCCCAGGGCTTCAGGGAGGGCAGGCACAGAGCAAAGCAATGTGGGGTGGGGTGCAGATGCAGTCAGGGAGCTTCAGCCCTGGGTGAGGCCAGGAAGAAGAACAAAACACCTACTGCAGAGGTGGAGGCCCAGGGCCCAGGACGTGGGCCCAGCAGAGCCCTGGGCCGTGAGGGAGAGACCTAGCCATGACGGGGCTTTGCACTGCCTCATGGGGTCGCTGCCTCTTTGCTGGCATTCAGGGCGTCTCATTTGTCCTCGATACTTCCTGCCCCAGGCAGGCGCCCTGCTGCAGGTTCCTGTCCATCTCCTGGCCTGGGTCTCTGCACGCCTTTTCCTTCTCAGGAGTCTTGCTTTTCTTCAATTCTGAAAGAGTCTGAGTCATGACTTCTTAGAATATCACCTCCCTTCCCTTTCCTTCTCTCTTGCAGAACAGTCTGTTAAATGCCTACTGGGTTTTCTCGATTTATGTTGTGGATATTTTTTTTTTCTTCTTTCATATTTTCCATTTCTGTCTTCTGGGGCTTCATCCCTGGATGATTTTTCTCAGATATATCTTCCAAGCCACTAAATCTCACTACATCTAAAGAGATGCCTGTTTAAAATTTTTTTATGCAATCTTTTTTAATCTCTAAAATGTCTCCTTGCTTCTTTGAATTTTTAAAATTTTTTTTAAATTTCCCATTCCTGTTGTATTGATTTTATTTCTGTGTCTCCTAAAGCATTTTGTACCTATTTTAAAGCAATGTGCAAACATGAATTTATTTCATTCTAACAGCAGTCCTATGAAACAGGTACTATTTTATCACCCTCATTTTACAAAAAGAGGATGAGGCAAAATGTGTTATGTAAAAGCCCCAGGCCTCACAGTTAGCAATGGATAGAATGGGATTTGAAAGCAAAGACAAAAAGTTTGGGCTGAAATGCGCAGCCCACGTTCCGATGCTGAAGACCTCATGCCCAGTACTGGCCTGGCACCATGGGGTTCTGGGGAGCAGCCCTAATCCAGCATAACTTGGCTCCCTGGGAGGGGAGGAGATTAGACACAGACACATATGACACAGAGGAAAACCCAAGTGAAGTACCAAGAGAGGACAGCTGGCTGCGAGCCCGGAGAAGGGCCTCAGAAGCCACCAGCCTTGATCTTGGAAGCCCTGAGGACCACACGATGACACGGTTTTCTTGTTTAAGCTTCGAAGCCATGGTGCTCTGTTTCAGCAGCCTCAGCAATGCACATGCCTGCTCCCCACACACAGATGTTTCTCACATTTTCTCCAGCTAAGATCGAGGGATGCCTAGCGTGCTCACCTTGTTATCTTCTGACTGAGAGTGGAAGGGGTTTCCGTGCTGAGAGTGGGGTTCTGTGACAGCGATACCTTCACATGTCTGCTTTGAAATACACTTTTTCTATTTTTCTTTTGTTTCTATGTCCTCATTTGTCAACTCTCCTTTTTTTTTTTTTTTTGGCTGGCTCAGGCTGCCTTAAGGGTAAGTCTGGCAAGGCATGGGGAGCTGGGAATCAAACCTTAGTCCCTTGCGCCTGACTGGGTTTGCCCCAGCAGGTGCTTAAACAACTGAGCTAACCCATAAACTCCTACTCTCCTTTTTTTT